GGAGGACTACACCGCCCCTACCCTCGCGCGGGGGCGGAGGGCAGTGCCTGCCTGTGCTGGCCCCACGGTCAGAAAGCTCCCCTAAAAAGTGGGAGAATCCGATCTTCGCGCCGTGCAGGTCCGTCTCCTAACCCAGCGGGTCCGGCCCGGCCTCCATCTGACCTTCGCTCCGGAATCCGGATGGGCCTGGAGCGCTCTAGGAAAGAGATGGAGGAATGACCGGAATGGAGAGACAGAGGGGAGGAAAGGAACACAGAAAATGCAAAGAAAGAAAACGAGGGAAAGCTGTTGATTTTGTTTTGTTTTGTTTTTTTTTTTAAAGATATTTTTATTGATATCAGAGAGGAAGAGAGGAAAGATAGAAACATCAATCATTGATCAGCTGCCTCCTGCACGCCCACACCGGAGATTGAGCCGCAACCTGGGCATGTGCCCTTGACTGGAACTGAACCCAGGACCCTTCAGTCTGCAGGCCGATGCTCTATCCACTGAGCCAAACCAGCTGGAGCTCATTTTATTCTTAATTTCCCTCCCTCCTTGACTCTGGCGGTAAAAGGTGTTTTTCTCATTTTACCGGAGAGGAAACTGAAGCACAGAGAGGAGTGACCTACCCCAACTCACAGCAAATTTGAAACAGCCCCTGAGCTCTGGCTGGGGTTGGTAGATGAAGGGCAGGGAAGTGTGTGTGTGGGGGGGGGCAACGGTCCTGGGGCCACAGGGCCCAGGAGGGAGGTGGCACTGGGGTCTCTGCCGGAGCCCACCAGCTCTGCCTGCCACTCATCTCTCTCTCCTTCCCCGTCAGGAGCACGCAGACCACTGGAGACAAAGTGAGAAGACAGCTGTCTACAGGCAGGAAGAGGGCCTCCACCAGGAGCCAAGTTGGCCGGCACCTTGATCTTGGACTTCTCCGCCCCGAGAGCTGTGAGAAATACACTTCTGTTGTTTAAGCTGCCCAGTCTGTGGTCTTTTGTTATGGCGGCCAGAAGAGACTAAGGCTGTCCCCTTTTCTTCCTTCTCTCCCCAGATCCCTTCTCAACCTCTCAGTCAATGGAAGCCTCTCTGGACTTCACAGCCTAGTTTGGTGCAGCTCCAGTTTGCAGTCACTCACGGTGTGTTGTCCATGCCAGGCTCTGGGTTGGGCACTGCGCACCCAGAAATAAAAAGTGCCCACCCAGTCCCCACCCCAGAGGAGCTGCAGCCTGGTGCGGTGGCAGACAGGTCGATAACCGCTACCCACCGCCAGGATGTCGTGTGGTAGGCCGGATAAGCCTGAAAGCCCAGCGAGTGTCCCACCCTCAGGCCCATCAGACCAGACTTGCTCTGAGGGAGGCGTTCTCTCCCAAGTTGCCATGGTGTAAGCCTGCAGCCAGCGGCCTCAGTCCCCATGCTGGCCCTGGCTCATACTACTGGCCCTGTGCAAGACTTTGAGCCAATAGCTAATGAAGAGATCTGGCCTATTTCTGCCCAATAAGGACCAACCCACCAATCAGCCAGCCATCTGACAAATATTTATTGAATATGCACTCTGTTCCAAGCCCTGGACTGAAAAACTCACATTACACTCTTAGGGGAGGCAGACGTTAACCGGTAACCACGCTCTGGTATAAAAGCCCACCGTACCCACAGCAGGGACAGTCACCATGCTGGGGGAGCCGGAGAGGCTTCTCTGGAAAGTGCTGATTGACCTGAGATCTTCCAGAAGATCAGGAATTGAACAAAGGAAAGGACATTCCCAAGAGAGGCTACCAGAGCATGTGCAAAGGCCCTGAGGTGACAGGGCATGTGGGATGAGATGGCGGTTGCCAGAATGGGCCAACTGGGTCTCAGTTAGGGAGCTTCATCTTTAAGAGTGATGGCAGCCAGGTAAGGGCTTACAGCAGGGAAGAAATGGAGACTCTTCCCTCCAAAGTGCAAGTCCCATCAACGTCCTGCCCCCATTTCTTCTCACTGTGACTTGGGCCTATACTCTCTCACCAGGAGCAGCGGCCTCCACCCATCCCTTCTGCCTCCCCCTAATTTCATGCCCACACTCCAATTTTCTGTGCAGCAGCCAGAACGATCTTTCAAAGTCCAACCATTTTAAAAGAAAAGAATAATCCTGCTACTCGGTAAGGCAGACTTTATTCGGGACTATCACGATAGGTATGGGGAGCACTGCGTGGGGTTTTGCAGTAAGGGAGAGAGATTGCCCTCAACTCCAAATACAATAAGGAAAAGTGGGAGTTTATCCCCAAGGAGCAGGGGAGAGGGGGGTTACTGAGGGGAAACATCTGGCTAAATGGGCCTAGCAGGGTTCTTGCAGAAGGCAGGCCAGGGTACTCAGACGTCACCTGGAGGTTGGTGGGAGATGAGGAACTTGGTCAAATATCAAGAGTGATCAGGTATTGAGGGTGAGGGATTCTGGCCAAACCAACTTGATAGGAGTCTTGCTAAAACTGGACTCTACACGGACAAAGACAGGAGCCAAAGGTCAAGCAGAGGGCTCAAAGGAGCCTGCCTAAAGTTTGGTCAAGAAGAGACTCTTTAG